CCCCAAAACCCCAAAACCCCAAAACCCCTTGAATAGTTTGATTTGAGGTTTTTTTGAAATAACAAGATAAATAAAGAATTATATAAGTATTAGTACTTTGGGATCGGCTTTATTTCATTTATTAACAAGAGTAATTTAATTAGATAAGATTCAATACTAAATATCTTAAACAAATAAATTGAACCTTAAGCATTTAATCTTTTACTGCAGTTAATTAGATATTAATAATAAAATGAACAAAACGTTAACCATATTTATAGAGTTCTGCCTCCTATTGATATTTGGAGTTTAATTGTCTGGCTCTATTCAAATTCAATGTAAGAGTATTATTTTAACTATCTCAGGTTAAAAAGATGAGTTCTACAATATTGAAGATTCAAGATGCAAAAGTAAGTTTTAAATTATATTCTCCATCTTTATATTTTACATTATCTTTTTATAATAATGTTGGTATTAGAATGTGAATCGGCAATTGTTGGATGCATATCTTGCGATACAGTAACTGTGAACTCGAATTTATTCGTAGTCTGTGATATTTGTTTTGACGGATTCTTTTTGCTTCAGAGTGAAACTTTTAATTCTAACTTTCCAACTTAATACTCTTAATGTGTTAGAGATTGCAATTAAGCACATTCATCTTATGTCAATAATGATATTACTAGAAAATGTTTATGTAAATTAATTAATAGTATATTAAACTTTGTATAACTAGGGTGTGGAGAGCATTGTCAGTCTTGCAATTTAAAGCATGGATGTGAAAAATGTGCTGCTGAAGACTAAAATATGGGATGGGTTTCTGCTAAATTACCTTCTAGTTAATAATATTATTGGCAAACTTTTCGTCAATGCAAGGGTAATCAGAATATATTAATCAGAATCTATTAATAGAATGTAAATATTCAAAAAGATGCTACAAGTGCAATCCAAATGATATTAACATCTGTACAGACTGTAATGCTCCAGTTAATCAGCTTGTCCCTTATTCGGGCATTGGAGCATAATGCGGTAACAACTTAAGTATTATAATAAACTAATAGTCGAGCATCTTTCTCCAGGCTAAGTCGTTGATTAGAATTGCTACATTTATGAATATGGTAATAGCTATAACTGTGCTCTATGTGATGACTATTACTATCTAGGAATATATTATCACACCTAATATAGTCGTGATGTCAAAGGGTGTTTTTAACGTAATCAACTTTTTAGAGTTAAAAATTTTAAATATAGATCGAGATGGAGCTAAATGCATAATTCCCACTGATAGTAATTACTGCAACATTTGTACTTATGGACTGAGTACAGGAGAAAACTTAGATGGATACAATTCTTGTTTAGGTTAATATCAAATCAGTATAACAGTTTTCTAGAATGCAATTAAAACAATGGTTTCAACATGGAAAGGATCAGATGCTCATTTATAGATTATAACTAAGAAGTGAGCGTTACTGGATGTAGGGATGCTTATGCAGAAGATGATTAATGCAAAACTAGTTGTGGAGCAGGAAGATATGGAGTAGCAGTTTATAATTTTAGAGCAAAATTAGATCAATCATATTGTGCCTCCTGCCACTCAAGTTGCTATGAATGTGGAGGATCCTCTGCTGACAGTTGTAAATCTTGTAACAAGGGCTATTACTTACAACTTACAGACAGGACTGTTCAAATGGGAACATGCTAGCCTAAATAAGAAGGGCATTAAGATTTTTAAATTTATGTGAACCCATGGTAGATTTTCAATTCAAAAGATTCTGATTAGCAAGATGGTTCATATAAAAACGCCTTTAATTCTATCCAAGATGGACTTGCAAATGCTTATGAGCTAGGAGCAAGTTATACCTCAGCTACGGTTGAAATTCTCCTTAAAGATGGCGGTCATGCTATGGTCAGGAACAAACCAACTGATAAATACATGCCATTAAAATTAGACTAGTACTCAGCAACAACTCAAGTCATAATTAGACCTGAGGATGGGGCAGATCAGATAAATATAAACTATAAACTTAGAGATTCCTTTAAGTTCAAGGTAGGGGGTTCATTGACACTATAGAACCTAAAATTTGATGCAATAGATTCATCAGTAGATATGGCTCTAGACTAAATATTTCTATGCTCATAGAATAACATAATCAACTGCTGCCGCATCGATGCTGATGGAGATTATGCAGGTGGATTATCATGCTTTTTTACTAGAAAACCGTAATTTGAATTTAGAGTTATATTACTATAGAACAGAGGAGTGTTATGGAGCTTTTGGTACAAGCTTCATTCAATTTGAAATCAATAAGAATAGTATGCTTACAGTACCTCCAACTCTGACTATAGAGGTAATAATCTTATCAATATATGGCTTTCTAAATATATTTACTTTATTAGAATGTGTGATTTTAGAACTTTATTTATGAGTACAACAGTTTCATTGAGCTCAATGAGTATGGAGGGCATATTAAACTAACTAATGTGACATTTGACAATATGAATTCATGTGGGGCTATTATTAGGAATTAGTTTGCCTATGTCACTCCATAAATAGAAATAACAGACTTCAAAACTGCTTACTAATCAAGATCAAGTTCATACCAAGCGACTCTATTTGAAGAATATTAGCAAAGCATTAGTAATCTTGCAATATATCAACTAACATGCCAAAATAAAAATTTGATATCTGGGCTGAATCCTTGCCACACAATACTTATAGAGAACTCGAATTTTACTAATTTTGGTAAAATGAAAGAAGTTTCAACCTATCCTGTCGCAGTAGATCCTCAATATAAACTGCAAATTCAAGGGATGATAATCGACCTAGATGGATTCCAAGGCACTCTTAAACTCCTTAATAATGAATTCAACACTAACTTGATAAAGTATGAGTCTTGTTTGATGGCATAATACATAGACTAGTTGACATTAAATCCAGAGGACAACTACCCTATTTATGGTGCTAAAACAACAATCTAGATAAAAACTTGGATTTCTCTTGTAAATCATGGAGACTGGAGTATAGATATTGTGAGAAACACTTTCAAATATATGACTTCAGTCAAGGGTTTGATCTACCTCGACCTAGGACCTCGATCTAGCAATAGTCCTATATTAATTGCAATGAATACATTCTTTCAAAATGGAGCTTATTTTGACAGTTCAGTGATTCATATAAAGGCTAGGGGAGGATTATTATAGAATGTGTTTAAAGATATTCCATTATAAGGTGACATGTTTTGCACTGGATATCACTTTGAGTAAAACGTGTTTGAGAAAAACTACGGATGTTTCAAATACTCTGGTGGGGCTATCAAGTTTCAATGTTTAAACTAAAATACTCCAGATTCCAGTTTAAATGGACTTGTTGATTATTAAGACATAGATTGGTTTTTTCAAGCAGCTCATTATAAAGTAGACTATAGTCTTTATTTTGAAAATTTCCAAGAAAAGACTTATTATGAGCATAATTTCAAAATTGATCCTGAAGTAAACAGGTTCAGATCTAATGTCTTCAAAGAGAATTTAGGTACTGGCAATCAAGGATTGATAAATATCATTGGATCTCCTAGGACTTTCTTTGAAAATGACACATACCTAGGAAATGGTGAATCGTCTTTGGAATCAACAACAGCCTATGGCAAGACTAAATACATCAAACCTTCAGAAGAAATAGAAAAATTAGGATTTACCTTACATTTAAGTCAGCTTACTGATCCTACTAATTTAATGAGGACAATGATTTATATAAGAAGAAGTGAATAACTGAAGATAATAAACTGCACATTTGAGTATAACTGGTTATATGAGCCCTTCTACTATGCAGAGAGAACCTAACTAATTGAGATTAGAGATTTTTATGGATAATTTCATCTTGATGGATGGACAGTAAAGAATTAAATAGGCATGCTAGATAATCCTTATGGACCAGTAAAATTTGGAGTAGCAGCCTATCCTGCAAGTTAAAGAGACAAAGCATCTTTGCATCCCTTACTTAGGTTTACTGGCAACCAAATGATGAAAGCAGTAGATCATTTCAAAACCTTTACATATATGAAGAATATCTAATATCAGGAATTCAATAATCCAGATGGCACATTGTTTCCATACTATGACAGAAATTCTGACAATGATGTCTATATCCATATTACCAATATCACAATGAATAACGCTTACTTTTAAGACATTGATTGCCATTTATGCTCTAGGCCATGGATAAGGTTTTAATCAGAAGTAACTACTTTAAACAATGTGACTTTTAAAAATATTAATGGATAAACTTTACTAACTGGACATTATTCTACAGCTCCATTCATCATGTTTTTCATAAGGAAAATTTACTTTAACATAAATTACTCACCAAGATTAATAACTGAGAAAATCATATTTAATGAAGTCAAATTGGAAAACTTTTTCGCAACAGAAGGTTCAAGAATGTTTGAAATCTAAAGATAAGCTGTATTAGGAGATATAATTCCTACTGATTATCAGATTTTTATAGAAAATAGTTCATTTAGCGGTGCTTACTCTTATGGCTCGGCCCCTTTGTTTAAAATTGATGGGAACTGGCTATAACTTTGGGTCTTTAATTCTAGCTTTAATAATATTACTAGTGGCTATCAAGCATCTGGTGGATACAACGGGGCAGCATTTTTAGTGTAGCAAATAAGAAATATACATATAGAAAAAGTGACTGCCATAGACATTATGAATCCAGCCTCATAGTTTGATGGGAACTTTACTATCGGATGTGGAAGATTTCTATGCTTCTTAGATCCTGTTTATATAACCTTAGTAAATATCACTGATAGTTTTTTCTTGGGAGAAACAATGCCTATATACTAGTAAAAATCAGAGGATTAAATATACTAGATAAAAAATGAACTCTATCATCAAGCTTCAATGTTTGAATTCAGGCTTGCTTACGATTATATCACATTGACCATTATTAGAACAACCTTCTTTAATTGCAGTGTTAGCAGAACTGGCAGTTCCTTTTTCCTCAGAACAACTGGAATAAAGACTATAGACATAGTATCAAGTCATTTTTAGGGGAATGCAGCAATAACAGGAGGTGCAATATTTTGTAGTGATTGTTATTTCACCATTTTTAATACTAGTTTCGACACCAATGTTGCTAAGTATGGTTCTGACCTACATTTACTTGATCCAATTATTCCAGTCATAACTTTAGAAAGCATAAATTCCAGAAACAGTTATTCTCTGTTAAATGGTGGATCTATACATATCAAAGATACTTCATCTATTGATTATTTTATCAAGATCATCAGAGGAACAGGAGAAAATTCTTCATTTACAAACTCATATGCTGCTAATGATGGAGGAGCAATATTCTTGGAGATTAAGGGTAATCTCTATTTAGATATTTATGATACTTATTTTGAAAATATACAAGCAGGCTAAAACGGAGGAGTCATTATGGTTCCTTAAATATAATACGCAGTTTAAATTATGTACATAACCCTGAAAAATTGTGTAATGAATAATATTCAACTAAAGAACGGAGGTGGTGGTGCTTTTTATGTCAATGACAATGCCAATATACTGAATTTGAAAGTATACAATTCTTCATTTACCAAGATTAAAAGTTCTAAAAATGGAGGGTTAGTGTATTCTGGAGCATAGCTTTTGCTTGATCTTAGTTTTAGCAATGTGACAGTTGATGACTGCTAGGCATAAAATGGAGGATTAATCTATTTCCAAACTGATCTGGCTTATGTTAAGATTCTTGATAATTCTACCATAAAGAATTCTAAAGCATAGTTAAATGGAGGAGTTTTGTACATCAATAATCCACCAGCTACACTGTATATCACTCTAAATTCAGTTAATATCTCTGGCTCCTCGGCTCAAGAAGGTGCAGGTGGAGTAATTTATGCAAGCGCTACATATATCACATATGAATTCGATCTGTAGACGAATATTACAAATTCATATGCCAATAGAGCAGGAGTGTTATTCACAAACGCTTCAACATAATGGCTTAACATATATAAAACCACATTTAATTATTCTGAATCAAAGTAAGAAACTGGAGGATTTTATGTCTATTCCAGGGTAACTACTTACCTCAAGATTGATAAAAACTGTTCCATGAGACATTTCAAAAGTGGATATAACGGTGGAGTATTCTATATTCACAGTCGATGGATTTGGATGACTGTTTAAGATTTAGAGGCTTCAAATACCAGTTCTAATGATCATGGCGGCTTTCTAGTAACATCTGATACGTCTAAATTTATCGATATCAAAATACTGAATTCCTCGTTCCATAATACCTCAGCTTTAGAAAAAGGATCCTTTTTGTACATCAGAGCAGGAGATTATAATGATCTTCCATCAGTAACCATCGATATTAGATACACCTAATTCTCTTGCAGAGACTATACATTTTATGATTAATGGCCAACTGGATATATTAATATTGTCTAAGATTTAGAGAATGGCCTTAACCTCATAGCTGGTTTATTTTCTTTTGACCCTCTCGTGACAGGTGAGATTATTTCAATAACAAATGAGTTCTCTAGATGCTTTAATACCTATGAAGGCTCAATATTTGCTATTCCTAAGTTAATGAGACTAGATGATACTTCGTCTTTTTACGAGTTAAATGGTGGTCTCAATGGATTAGTGAGTGCTTAGTCTAGTTTAATTAACCTTAATAATGCCTATGTAAAAGACTCACTTTCTAAGTATTCTGGATTTGTACATATGGTGAATAATGCCTCAGTTTCAATCAATAAACTTCGAGTTAAACTTATAAAAACCTTATAATAAGGAGGTGCTTTCTATACTGAAGGTTATGGCCAAACTATACTTAAGATTTTAGACTGCCAAGATACTATCTAATATTTTGACTCTTAATAAAATGGGGCTTTTATGTATAATTCCAATCCATAATTAGACTTAAATATTACTAACTGTGAAATAGCTCATGTTTATTCAGCTGCTGATGGAGGACTGTTATATTTCGAGAGTGGAGATCAGATCAAGTTGTACAATGTGACCCTAAAGAATGTCTCAGCTTATGGACAAGGAGGATTTTTATACTCAACTTACCCAGATATGTTTATAAATGTTACAAAGGTTAATTTGACATGTACCGATGAGAGTGATTATGACATCATAGATATTAATATAGATGTAAAGAGAAATAAATCTTCCCAAGGTTCAATGTTTTATCTTAAAAATATCTAGGATCTTTATACTAAGGATAACTATTTCGCAAATTGTAAGATAGCTGATAAAGGAGGAATATTTTATCTTGAGGACTCTTGGATAGAGGACAGAAACTCAACATATATCCAAAATGTAGCACTTCAAGGTGGTATTTTTTATTTCAAGAATGCTAAGATCAGTTTGTATCAGACTAAAATTAATAGTTCACTAGCCTATTCTGGAGGATCATTTTATTTAGTTGGGTCGAATAATTTAACTATATAAGGAATGCAAGTCTATTACAGTGAATCAGTTGGAGATGGTGGTTTTATCTACATTTTAGATCCTACTGCAAGGAATGATATAGCCCTTATAGAGAAAATAAACTACACAGTCAGTATAAATAATCTGATGAGTAGATAGGGCAACGGTGGTACTTTCTATATCGATTGCCCTTCGACATATATCTCATTGAACAATATTGAAATAAGAAATACATCAGCATTATTAAGTGGTGGTTTTGCTAATATTTAAAATGCAAAGACTTTATATATTACAAGTTCATAAATTTACTCAGCTAGTAGTATTAATCATGGATCAATAGTCTATTCCTCTTCTAATGATGGTACTTTTGTTCTTGATAACAGTGTATTCGATTGCTAAGGCTAGACTTTTCCTTAAATAGACACTGCTGACAAATTAACAAACATGGTTTTTACTAATGGTGGAGCATTTTATCTAAAGAGTGCCAAAAACATTGATTCTAATGGTAATACCTACCAAAACTGCTACGTCGCAGAACAGGGAGGCATATTCTAATTTGTTAATACAAATTTCAAGGATATAAATTCTATATACAGGAATAATGCAGCACTTATCGGTGGTGTGTTTGTCTGCATTAACTGTGACATATACCTCAAAAATATTAAGGTTTACAATTAAATGGCTAATAAAGGAGGATTCATATATATAGAGGATAATGTAAACTTGACTCTGGATAATTTTGTGGCTGAAGGTGCAAAATCAATAGTCGGAGGTGGGTTTGCATATGCAATATAAAAGGACATTAATTCAAAGGGTTAAATTATATTTAAGAACAATGGAGTAATGTCTGATTTCTCCTCTCAATATAATGGTGGTGGATTTTTCATAGATCATAAGGAATTTAGTTTTTATATAGAAGATCCAATATCAATATAGAATAGTAATGCTTTAAATGGGAATGGTGGACTGTTTTACATTTTAAATGGAAGAGATATATAAATTTAAGATTCCACTTTTATTGGCTTCAGTGCCTCTGGCAACGGCTCAATGATATATTCAAATACTCAAACTCTTAATCTTACCTTGGTCAATAACGTTATTAAAGGAAGTACAGAATAATGGTCTAATTATTACGGAGATGATTTAAATGTAACAAAGAAAGGTGGTGCTATATATGTTAAGGATTTGATTTCTAATATTATATCATCTCGAAATTAATTTGGCAATACTTACATTGCTCATACTGGTTCTATATTTACACTTATTAATTCCACTTTGAATGACTCATATTCAAGTTATTAATATAGTAAGGCAAAGTTGGGTGGAGCAATTTATTGTGACAATTGCAAATTGAACCTAAAAAATATTGGCTTTGATCATAATCAAGGATACTATGGAGGATCCCTTTACGTTATAAATCACAAAGATTAGTTGAACATAATTGACTGTACATTTACTAATCAACTAAGCTAACAGCATGGAGGGATTTTATATCAAAACGGGGAAACACTTGGGGAAATTCATATCATTAATCCTATCATTACGGTTTCTGAATCTTCAAATTAGGGTGGAGCTTTTTACCTTAATAATCCTAACTCTATAATTACAGTAAGAAACATGATATTAGGTTCGACTTATGCTTCTAAAGAAGGTGGTGTATTTTATATAAATAAAGCATCTGAACTATATATTATTGACTCTTAATTTCATAACTTCAGCTCATAAACTAAAGGAAGCTTGATGTATTCTACATCAGCAAATTTTAAACTTAAGGTTATTAATAACAAGATCTTCTGTAGAATAAAGTCTTTCAATTATTCTGAAGACTTAGCTGGAAACATAGATTCTATTTTACCTTATATTACCAATGCTGGTGCGATTTATGTGTCTAATGCGATGAATGTATCAGTAATGTATAATCAAATCTCAAATTGTTATCTCAGTGATACTGGCGGAGTATATACTCTAAAAAATACAAGCTTAGATGATGACAGCAATATATACAAGAACAATGCAGCTTTTCAGGGTGGAGTGCTTTATTCTGAATCCTCAAACGTCACGGTGAACAACGCAACTATCAATAACTCTTATTCAATTTATGGAGGTGTATATTATCTCAAACAAGTTAATCCCTTAAATATTACGAACTCATCATTCACATTCAACAATGCCATTAAAGATGGAGGATTTGCTTATTTAACAGACGATGGAGCTCAATCAAACATATATCAATTACAAATCAATAAAAGTCTAATTAGTGATTCTTAATCAGGAATTTCTGGAGGAGTATTCTATGTCAATTCCAAATCTATCAGAAATATAACTTTCAATCGTATTGACATTTTAAGGTCCAAAACAACCTAATCAGGAGGTGTTGCTCATATTGAATCAATGAATGGAACTATGACTATTACCACTGAAAATGGCTTAACAAATTCTATCTCTGAATTTGAAGCAAAAGGTTTTGGATCTTTAGTCTCAAGTTTGACTTCATAAAATTTTAGCCTTTCTCTCAATAACACAATTGTCCAAGCGAGATCGATTTATAGCAAAGTTAAAGTAGAGTAAGATGTGCTATTCTAGACTTCATCAGCAGGAGCATTTTACATTTAGAGTTCAAAATAGGGAGTAGTGTCATTTAATAATATATACAGAAATTGCTACACTGGTCTCACTGGAGGAGTATTCACACTTATTGATTCATAGCTAGTTGATTATGGCTCCAGATTCTATCAAAATGCTGCTATTTCTGGAGGAGTATTCAAATGTGACTCGTGCACTTTAAAGCTTAATAGCACTAACATCCAAAATAATTATGCTTAAAATGGAGGAGCTTTCCTTCTTGACAATAAGGTCAAAGTAGATCTGTTTAATACAATCTTAAGCTATAATGAGGCAGTATAAAGAGGAGGAGTATTCTCAATTGTAAAGACAGCATTTGGAAACTCAGGAGATATTTATCTTTAAATTTAACAGTCAACCTCAATAACAGGGAATATTGCTAATGAAGGTGGATTTATCAATGTAGAGAATGAATATATGAGTATCAATATTTCTAACTCAAAGTTAGAATCGATTTCCGCAAAAGAATAAGGGGGCTTAATAAATGCTCTGAAAGCTAGTAGTATTTCATTCCTAAGTTGTAAAATTAATGATTTTTAAGCTGAAAACGGAGCTGGTATTTATTCTATTTCTGAAACTGTATCAATAAGCATTACTAAATCTTCAATTATCTGTAATCAGCTATTTGACATTAGTACAATCGGAACTTATTTAAATAGGGATGATTAGCAAACAACTCAATAGTCGAATTTCTTCATTTAAAAGGCCGTTAAATTTACCTCTGAATTGAACAAATTTTAGAGCTGCGGAGTAGCTGAGCTTGGTGGAGTATTTTATTTACAAAAGACTAACTTCTTTGATACTAAGTCGACATTTTCTTATAATGCAGGAGCATAAGGTGGAGTATTTTTGATAATTGAAAGCAATGTATCGCTAATCCAAACAGACATTTAAAACAACTATGCGTATCAAGGAGGAGTAATGTCTGTCTATCAGGATTCTTATATATATTTATTCTCCTGCTAATTCATCAACAACATAGCATATTCTCTTGGGGGAGTACTCAATATGAATACATAATCCTACTTTAACATTGTTGGCTCTCTTTTTCAAAAGAACTATGCCCCAGAATCTTCTGTGATATCTGTCTTAGGAGGGAGTACTTCAAAGAATAACACAATCTTGAATTCAAACATAATTAGCAACAATGCCACGACAAATACGCTATCTATGATGTACGGTAATATTGTAATTAAATCTTCGAGCTTTGAAAATAATAATGCCACTTTCAGATCTAAAAACATATTCTTAGGATTTGCTAATGCTGTGATTGAAAATACAAAGTTCACGAGTCTCACTACATCAGATGAACTTGAATCTGTGAATTCAGAATTTACGATTGGAACATTTATCTACATAATATTTGATGTTGATATCTCTATAAGTTCTTGTATATTCTAAAATGGTAGATCATCATTAGGAGGGGCAATTTATATATCTGGGGATAGCAATATTAGGATATCTTCAAGCTAATTCCTGAATAATTATGCCAAGCTATAAGGGGGTGCAATTTACTCAGTTGGATTTAAGAATCTAGAAATTACTGGGGGATCTATATTTAAAAATAATTTGGCTATTGATTAAGGAGACGATATTTTTGCATCGAATACGGAAAACACATTAACTCTTGACAAAGTCAATATTACGAACCCTAATGCTAAATGCTCTATATTTGCAGAGTAGTTATAAATAACAATATCTAGGACTGGATTTAAGAATATCAAAGGTAAAGGCAGTGAGAATGGTGCTGCTCTTTACTGTTCAAATTGTAAGAAAATAAACATTAGCGAGAGTAATTTCATTAATCTTGAGAGCAAATTAGGTGGTGCAATATTTATCACTGAAACAGAAGTAAATAAAAAATCTAGTGAAAAATGGGGGAAATATCTTATCATAGATTCATCTTTCGAATAATGCAAAGCTACTTAAACTGGAGGAGCAATCTATCTTGATAATTCATAATATATGACCATCCAATCTACATTGTTCAAGCATAACTAAGCACTTTATTCCAAAACAGCAATTAATCAAGATATCTCAGGAGCTGGTGGTGCTATTTATTTTACTTGCAATGAGTAAGTTGCAAATTGCAAATTTGATATAATAAGAATGAGCACCTTTTAATAAAATACAGCTGGGGTAAAAGGGGGTGCAATTTATTGGGATGTTATTGAACCGATTTTCGTCTCAAGTGACATAAAGTTTAAAGATAATTCTGCGAAGTACTATGCTAATGATGTAGCCTGCTTTTCCTAATAATTAGATGTCATCTCAGAGGTGAACTATTAGAAACATCTTAAGGCGGTAGGTTTGCTGGAGTCTCTTGATTTTAGAGATCTAATCAAGTAAGAGAAGGTGATTAAAGATTCTTGGTAAAAACGAACACTTGATGGCATTGTTAATGATAGTTAAGGTAAAGTAGAATCCTTAAGAAGTGGTGGATCAATTCCTGTAATCTATTTAGCTCATGTTGATAAATATGGCCAGATAGTGGGCTCAGATTTTTCAAGCAAGGTGAGAGTCTCAGTGAATTCATCCTCTAACACTGATCCCAAGGCTCTGGTGTTTCCTCCAAGTATAGAAGGATCAACTTCATTTGAAGCCTCAGCTGGCATAGCAATTGTCAAAGATTTCAGCTTTGCCGCTACTCCTGGCTTCTCGTATAGTCTTTCTTTTTCCTCAGATGGAATAAATACAAATAAATTGTCCAACAAAAACTTTCTGAAAAATAGTGGCTGGAAAACCAATCTAGACACTGATGTAATAATTGAGTTAAGAGACTGCGAGCTTGGAGAGCAGTATACAACTGGTGGTAAATGCATGTCTTGTCCAAATGGATAGAGTTTTTCCCTCGCAAAAATGACTGAGCCAGGTGAATGTAGCACCTGTCCAACAGAAAAAGCTGTATGCAATGGTGGTTCAAATATAGGACCGAAGTCTGGTTACTGGAGGAAAAATAACTATACCTCAACTTTTGTTAAATGTCTTTACTCACCAGCTTGTCTTGGAATGGTTCCACCTGATTTTAACCCAAAAGGCTCTTGTTCAGAGGGCTACTAAAACATACTTTGTTCAGATTGTAAAATAGGATTTTCAAGAACAAATGATTATGAATGCTAACTATGTCCTGACAAAATTTAGAATATTTTGAGACTAGTGTTCATATTTATTGGGCTAGTTCTTGTTGTTATTTTCATAGTTAGATCAACTTTGATAGGAGCTAAGGAAAAGAATAATATCACAAGTATTTTCATGAAGATACTACTTAATCATATTTAACTGATACTTCTAACTGCTTCTTTTGACTTTGAATGGCCCAGTGAAGTTCTGCAGTTATTTGATACCGCGAAACCTGTAGCTGCAATTTCAACTCAAATCGTAAGCTTTGATTGCTTTCTTGACCAAAGAGAAGAAAAATATGAGCCAGATTCCTCAATAAGTGTACTTAAAGAATCAGACAAAATCAGAATATTCTTCCAGAAGCAAATATTCCTTGCAGTCTTACCTTTCGTACTGACAATATTTTCAGTTTTAGCCTGGCAGCTTATCAGATTAGTAAAACGGAATTAATTGGAAATATCTGGAAGAACTATATCGACTATGGTGATAGTCCTTTTTCTAATTCACCCAAACATAGTCTAATACATGTTTTACAATTTCAAGTGCATTGAAGTAGATTTTGAATCTAGGGTGCTTAATGATTTAGAGATTATGTGTTGGAATGATCAACACAGGATATTTAGTTATTTCGTAGCGGCCCCCAGCATAATTGTGTGGGGTGTCGGTATTCCAGCTTTTGCTCTGATTATTATGAATCGATTTAAGCGTAATCTTGATTAAATAGAAATCAGAGAGAAATTTGGATTTCTTTATAGAGGATACAGGACTGATTTTTATTTTTGGGAGATTGTCATTATGTATAGGAAAATGCTTTTGATCTTTATTGCGGTATTCATTGGGAATTTAGGAGTGATTGCTTAAGCTCTTATAGTATTTGTAGTACTCATTGTGTAATATATAACATCTTATTAATAATTATTAGGTTTTTAATTATAAATTTAAAGAAAAAACCTTATGGAACTATTGCTCTGAATGACTTAGAGACACTCTCATTAGTTACATCTATGATTTCAGTATATTGCGGACTCTTCTTTATTGCTAATAAGCCGGAAGATTGGATTCGAGATAATCCAGATTACTCATCAGGTTCTATAGCTCTAACTAATGCTTCTTAACTCTTCTTTTTTGGAGTGATAGTCTTTTGTAACTTGACATTTTTAATTTACTGGGCTGTAAAAATGTACTTTGAAATAAGAGCCAAATTTAGGAAAATATTGCCAAAGGTATATTTAGTTCTCTGCCTATGTATGGATAAAAATAAATTTGATCACGAAAATAAAACCTATGAAATGTAACTTGTGAATGAAAGTCTGAAAGAGTAGTATCTGAAAAACTTATCAGCCTTAAAGAATATGTATTACTCTGGAGAAATTATGCTGAATCAATAAAATCTTGAGAAATTATTAACTTACCTTAACCCATAAACAGTTAAAGAGTTAACATTACGATAGACTGAAGGTGAATTGTAAGAGCAAGAAAAATTTAATAAGAGATGGACAAGAATATAAGAGGATTAAGTAAGAGCTAAATTAGGCTATAATAAAGTTTAAGACTACAAAGCTGCATAAGAAATTGGATTAATTGAGTAATCTCCAAAAGCTTAGCACAGGCTTGAGAGTGCCAAGACCAACTTCTCTCGAGATAAAAGGTCTATACTAATAGACTAAGCATTTATCCTTGAAGATACAGATAAAAAGAGACCTAATGGAAGTCCTGAGACCCAACAAGACTCAATGATAGTAAAAACAGGAACTCAAAATCACCAAAACCTTAGCGACCAAGGTTTCAATTCATTTGAAAGTCATCTCTATGAAAGCTAGGATTCTGAATACTAGATAATGTCCACTGGGAGAGAATTACTGATACATTTAGATGAGAATGAATCAGGCGAGCTAGCATCTATCTACTTCAGTGAAATAGATCATTATGACAAAGAATTGAAATTGATCAATGATATTAAAAAGCTAGATGAATAGAATTAGCAGATCAAGTAAATAGATGAAATTGGAAAAATAGCTCGAAGAAAAAGATTGAACAAAAAAAGGTCAACTCAAAATTATGAGAGTTCAGTGAATCAACATATTTCAAAATCCCCAAACCTATAATAAAAGCTTGATGAAGAGGATTTGGAAATTGAAGATGAAAAACTTGATGAAATAAAAGATTCTGTATAGAGGAAGATTAGTGTTGAAATCTTGGAATCTGACAACTCGTACGAATAAGTTAACCCATAATTCACTGAATCAGATTTTAACCACTTATCTCTATATAAAACACCTCAAACTAATCTTAAAATGCAGAATGCAGCAAAATAAGTAGTTTAAAGCAACAACTTCCTTTAAGTAATCAAGTAATAGAGGATGCCAAGTAATAGATAAATTACAAAGGAATAACTGGAAATTGAAAGAGAAAATGAACTTAAAGATTAGATGTCACAAGCAACACTGAAACGATTTAACTTCAAAAAATAGATCAGGACTGAATCATAAATGATGCTTGGAGATTTGTCAACACAAAATCTCGATTAGTTATTCAAGAGTGTTTAGGAATAAGCACTGTTGGACAATAATGATGCAGCTAGCTAGAATTAGGCATCAAGTCTAGGTATAAATTCTAGTGAGATTAAACCTGAAACAGATGCTAAGAGCAGTAATATATTTAATTAGGCAAATTTGAAAATCAAAGAACTTGCTAATTAGTATAGTATATCAGAACTAAGTGATTTTAATAATGAAGATTCTCTGGCAAGCAGTGTAATATCATAATAGCAAAAAAATGATAAAGCCATGGAATCCTATACTATGATAATGAAGAAATTCAATGAAATTAAAATCAATGATGAATAGAGTCAAGATAAAAATGAAATGTAGCAGAAATCTTAATCAATTGAAAACTTCTTAGAATAAAAGGAACTTGATGGAGATAATATATCGAATTTATATAAGTGAATCAGCAGACTACAAACTTTATTTAAAGATTAAAGAGATTATTGATTAATATTAATAATTACCACAAGAATTTCTCAATGTTTGATGAGCGGGGTTTTGGGGTTTTGGGGTTTTGGGG